TATTCATTTAGAATTAAAAATAACTCACCTGAATTACCTTGATAGATATAATGTATGTAATAAAAGTGTGTCATTAAACTGGCTTCAGGCAGAGAGTTGTTCATTCAAAAATATTTTTTACATATTTCTTAAATGATTGACGTGTTAAAATTTTGGGCTTTCTTTGGCATCTTATGTTAACCCTTAGCATATTAAGTGAGCATAAAGTTCAGTCTCTATGTGTTTTACCAACAGACCATTATCTGAGTTTTAGGATTCCCAAAAGATTGTCAAAATTTCCAAGTCCAATATGTTCCATGGCAGACAGAGATTGAAAGCTTGATCCTGTGGCAGAGAGCTCCTCTTCAAACCGAAGAGCACAGACAGAACAACACCTATAACACAGTTGAGTTTTCTGTAGCCACAGCATGAATAAACAGTCAACATTGCCTTTGCTTAAATAGTTTATGCTTAAAAAGCATCTTGGAGCTAGGCCCAAAATGATTCATACCCACGGGGCATTTTAGGTATGAAGGAATTTTTTAATTTTACCAACATAAAACCATCTAATTCTGATCTCCAGATGATTTCTTTGTACATTCTCTAACATCAAGTACCATGTGTAAATATATGCATGCATACATTTTATGGCAATGTTTAATGTATCACTTACTTCAGGTGGAGCAAAGTTTGGATCCCGAATACACTTCTTTAGTTTATTGGCCCGCTTGAGAGCTTTAATATAGCGGTCATAAAATTCAACAGACTGAGGGGCTGGTTCATTTTTATACGCTGTGAACAAAAATAATAGTTTGTATATTTATACAGTAAATGTAAATAAATATATATATAATTTAGTCTATTGTCATCGATCATTTTTTCCTAAGACTGATCAAAGCTCTTTCCACATAAATTATTAGGGTAAATCTAAGTTGAAAGTATAAAGAAACAACAGCTCTATTGTTTGCATCCAGCAGGAACCTGTCATGAAGTTGAGGACGAAGCTGAGGAGTGGTCCTCCTGATGGGGGTGGAGGTATGTACATCTTGTACTCTTGGTACTTTCCCACATTGACAACCCATGCATCAGTCACTGTGGCTTTATATGACTCGAAGTCCTTCAGTGTGAGATTTCCTCCTGGGCAAAAAACAGTGAATTAAACTATTTCTGCTGAGCAGGAGAAAAAAAAATCATCATGAGAACCCATACCAGCTCTCACAAATATGATAGATAGATAGATAGATAGATAGATAGATAGATAGATAGATAGATAGATAGATAGATAGATAGATAGATAGATAGATAGATAGATATGTAGCACATGATGGTACTAACAGATCAAATCAATTTGTTTATTTGTAATTAGACAAGTGGGCCATGCAGACAGAGAGAGAGTCGTAGGAAACTCTAATGACAATACCTGTAACTTTTTGCAAATCCTCTGCTATACTTCCGGTGTAGAAAGCATCCGGTCCTTTGTTTGCAATTAGCTCCAAAGTGTCGGCCAGTTTCTCAAACTTGATGATGTCTCTGGTTGTCTTTAGGGTTCCATTTTCATATGAAAATAGTTTCCTGAGAAGAGGAAAAGAATATAAATCTTTATCCATCATACCTCAGAGCCAGACTGTGATACTTATGGTCTTCCATACCGCAGGGACTCAGTTTCGTTAATCTCTGGGAGGTAGGAGTATAGGACTAGAGGAATATGGAATCCCTCTCTGGCCAGTTTGATGGTCGTGGTGAACAAATCTTTCCAATTCAGTTTTCCATAAAGTTTGTGAGCCAATTCGTAGCCTCGAATTTCCCCTGGAACACCAATCCATTTGCTTCCTGCACAGATGGAGGAAGGGACAGAGTTTGAATATTTTCACTGTAGTTTAGCGTTATTGAATACAGGACAGAAAAAAATAATTTCTGACATAATAAAACCACCAAGATCATTGTATATTATTAGAATTATGTATCATAGAGTAAATAAAGTAAGCAATAAGTGGAAACAAACTCAAAAGTTTGTATTCAGCCATCATAAATAAATTTCTGGTTGAATGACCTTTGAGAGACATAAATGTTGGTCGTGTCTTCTTTGAAAAATAGCTAGATCTCAGTCAGATGAAATGAAGAGAATATGTTAACATAAGATTTCAAGTTCTCCCACAGACTCTCAATCAGATTTTGGTATAGTCTGTTTTTGGTCCCCTAACATGTTTTCCTGGATGATTCCCCCAGCATTTAGCTCCATCCATCATCTCATCAACTCTAACCAGCTTCCCTGTACCAGCTGGGACAAAAAAAACATCCCTATAGCAAGATGCTCCAAACACCATGTTTCATTGTGGGGATGGTTTGTTCACAGTGTTGTGCAGACCGAGCTTCTAGCACACAGAGCAGTTCTTCTCCAAGACTCCCCCACTCAGCGCCACCAGAGTAATGGTATTATGATTTGTCTCTGAAAATAAACGCCTTTTTGGAGGCCTAAACGTATATGAAAACGCACAAAACCTTTGCCAAAATTGTCCCCATGTGAAACTGTTAAACACTCACACGCACACACGCGCACACACACACATCCACAGACACATGTAAGCCCCCAGTGGCCAAAGTCAAGAGACAGTTGATATACTGTACTGCAGCAAGCTACCTACCATTTTCCTCTGATTTTTTCTCAGCACAGGACTTCAGCAGATCAGGTTTCACACTGGACGGTGCAGTCTCCCTGGAGTTGATGATCGTCACTTTACCTTTAAAGAAATGTTCACTCCATCAGTTATTATCAATAACTATTATTAAAGCAGTTCTACTTTATGAGAATTGGCTGCATGGAAGCCTTTTTCATACCAGATTTGTCCATTATGGTGAAAATGGCCCCCCCTCCGATCCCAGCGCTCTGCGGGTTCATGATGCTCGTGCACAGAAGTGCAGCAATGGCGGCATCTACTGCTGAGCCGCCTTGTATAAGAATGTTGCTGTAAAATTCACACTCATTTTTGATGTTTTTTTTTGTTTGTTTTTTGTGTCAAGATGATTAACTATGTTCTATCATTTCTGTTTTTTGAAAATCAAAAAGCAAAATGTACTTTCATAAAATTATGACCCTTTAATAGTTAGACTGGAAAATGTCAATAAAACTAAATATGTAAAAGGTTCAAAATTCATAATGTTAATAAACTGAAAAAACATCAATTTACAAAAACTAAATTTTTGACTAGTTTCTTGGAAATAAATTATTTTTATCTGTGTCAAAACTAATGCACAGTCATGGCCAAAAGTTTTGAGAATGACACAAATATATTTTCACATGATCTACTGCCCTCTGGTTTTCATGTGTGTATGTCAGATGTTTTCATCACATACAGAAATACAATTGCAATCATATTATGAGTAACAAAAGCTTTTATTGACAGTTAGAATGAGTTAATGCAGCAAGTCAATATTTGCAGTGTTGACCCCTCTTCTTCAGGACCTCTGCAGTTCTCCCTGGCATGCTCTCAATCAACTTCTGGACCAAATCCTGACTGATAGTAGTCCATTCTTGCAGAATCAATGCTTGCATTTTGTCAGAATTCCTTGGTTTTTGTTTGTCCACCCGTCTCTTGATGATGGACCACAGGTTTTCAATGGGATTAAGATCTGGGGAGTTTCCAGGCCATGGACCCAAAATCTCTGTTTTGTTCCCTGAGCCAGTTAGTTATCACCTTTGCTTCATGGCAAGGTGTTCCATCATGCTGGAAAAGGCATTGTTCATCACCAAACTGCTCTTGGGCGGTTGGGAGAAGCTGATCTCGGAGGACATTCTGGTACCATTCTTTATTCATGGCTGTGTTTTTAGGCAAGACTGTGAGAGAGCCGACTCCCTTGGCTGAGAAGCAACCCCACACATGAATGGTTTCAGGATGCTTTACAGTTGGCATGAGACAAGACTGGTGGCAGCGCTCACCTTGTCTTCTCCGAACAAGCTGTTTTCCAGATGTCCCAAACAATCGGAAAGGGGATTCATCAGAGAAAATGACTTTACCCCAGTCCTCAGCAGTTTACTCCCTGTACCTTTTGCAGAATATCAGTCTGTCCCTGATGTTTTCCCTGGAGAGAAGTGGCTTCTTTGCTGCCCTCCTTGAGACCAGGCCTTGCTCCAAGAGTCTCCGCCTCACAGTGCGTGCAGATGCACTCACACCTGCCTGCTGCCATTCCTGAGCAAGCTCTGCACTGCTGGTAGCCCGATCCCGCAGCTGAAACACTTTTAAGAGACGGTCCTGGCGCTTGCTGGTCTTTCTTGGGCGCCCTGGAGACTTTTTGGCAAGAATGGAACCTCTCTCCTTGAAGTTCTTGATGATGCGATAGATTGTTGACTGAGGTGCAATCTTTCTAGCTGCGATACTCTTCCCTGTTAGGCCATTTTTGTGCAGTGCAATGATGACTGCATGTGTTTCTTTAGAGATAACCATGGTTCACAGAAGGGAAACAATGATGCCAAGCACCAGCCTCTTTTTAACGTGTCCAGTGATGTCATTCTTACTTAATCATGACAGATTGATCCCCAGCCCTGTCCTCATCAACACCCACACCTGTGTTAATGGAGCAATCACTGAAACGATGTTAGCTGGTCCTTTTAAGGCAGGGCTGCAATAAAATTGAAATGTGTTTTGGGGGATAAAGTTCATTTTCTAGGCAAATATTGACTTTGCAATTAATTGCTGTTAAGCTGATCACTCTTTATAACATACTGGAGTATATGCAAATTGCCATTATACAAACTGAAGCAGTAGACTTTGTAAATATTAACATTTGAATCATTCTCAAAACTTTTGGCCGTGACTGTAGTTGCAGCAGCACTTCGGTTGTTTTTTCTTTGTTTTTTTTTTTCTTTACAAGCACATGACTCTCAATACTTTATCTCTGTTGTACTTATCTCTGGGCTTATTAGAGCAGATTGGTGCTCTAAATGTTTGGTACAAAAATCTCCCTTTTTCAAATTAAATATGCTTACTAAATGTAGCTTATTCATTTATTGTATGCTGAAAGTCTGATTTTCACAGGCTCGCAAGTTCCATAGTTTTCTAAAAAGGCTACTATAGATATAGTGTTTGCATAACTCAATGAGTGCAACAACTTCTTTTATGTTAAAAATCCATAATTTCAATGAATTATTCATGTTGCACATCAGTTTGGTCTGTCTGCCACAGTTGCATGTTTTGATTGTACTGTTCAGCAATGGGTAAATCAATGGGTACATTTTTGTCACCTCTGTCATCTACCAGTCCGTTTTCAGTGAGCTAAATGGCTAATATAACAGAAAACAGTGTGACCTTTGACTTTCAAATAATGACAGTTTTTCCAAATATCTGACCTTTTCCAAAGCACTCCAATTTAGAAAAAAATTGCCATTTAAAAAAAAACATCTTGCAAATTTTGTTTAGTATGTTAAATGTTATGAAATAAAAGTGATTTGATGGTAAATATAACTTACACAAGGAACAAAAACTGCAGCTGTCATTTAATTACATTTTCCAAATAGCATATTAAAATTCAAATAGTTTATCTGCATAATTCAAACTTCGTTACATACAACTGCCTCAGCATAATCTGACCCACAGGGCCAAAACGGCAAGATCTGGTTGTTGAACTGTAGCCAGCTGAGGATGATGTGCCCATTGTCATGTCACCATAGTATGCTGATCATTAAACCAGAGGCAAGTCCAGTTGTTCAGTTTTCTGACTATTGAAAAAAAAGTGTTAATTAGCACTTACAGTCCGATCTTTGAGCAGTTGGCGTTGTCCGCAGCCACGGCACCTTTACAGAAAGTCCCTTTTGGGCAATTGGGCTTCGTAGCGACATATATGATCACAATAAGAAAGATAATTACCAGCCCCAGCAAAGCGTACACCTTCACATTATGTCCGGCCATGCTTCTCTGCACTCACTGTGACCTGTGAAGCTGAAGAATAAAACTGAGTGAGTGAAGGACTGCACACCTGATTGGATCTGATGAGGCGGGGCCCTTTTCCACCTCCCACACTGTAAACAGCAGATAAAGAAAGTAAATGTCACATCCAAGGGGAGGAGTGCTTCACATGTATTTTTGTCTTGTGGAGTTGGTTGTGGCTTTAGTTTCATTTGGTACAGATATGTGGAAAATGTAGCTCTGTGCAAAACTCTGGAATGTTGTATGCTACTCATAACAATTAAAAAAATAGAACCAATTTGAGTTATTTCCTTCCCTTGGTCTAATGATCCAGACCTGACTTGATTTAACTCAACAGAATTGGGTTATGGGCTTGACTCGGTCTGCTGGTTTGATAAGTATTTTAACCTTTTACAATTCAACTACCAGTTAAAGTTGGGAGAGATTTGATCAAAATCTGACTTTTTAGAAGTCTAACTAGTTTCAAACAATTTAGATGTTTAAGATTGTTGCTTTTACAAGCAACAATCTTAAAGACAAATTGCTTTTTTTTGTAAAAACATATTGTAATGCAGTAGCTATTGCTGCTTTTCCAGGGCAGTCTTGTAAGACTTTTGGGCATGCAAGTCATTTACAGCATCAATGATAGCAATGTTTTTTGAGTTGGAGAAGAAATTATAAGGACTCAAATGACCTTCACAGGTCACCATTTTTAGCTATAAATAGCCTCCAACAACGTTCAGACGTTACTGAACCTGTTCTACAAGATGAAATAAATGGTGCATCGTAAGAAAAAACAACAGTTGTTTTAAACCAGTTGGTTACCGACATTTCACTGTGTGACAGTGGGACATTTCACAGCAAAAGAGTATTATTACTGTTAGTCTTAATGTTTTAATACCAAACCTGAGCCCCCCGAAAAACAAACAAAAAAAACCCACGTTAATACTTTGTCTCAACATCAGTAGAAAATATCTTGTAAAATATAGTTGGTTTTACAAAACATAACATTTTTCTGGACAACTGACAGACAAATTTACTGCAAAAATAAATGTCTTGCATTTTACATTTTTAAGGAATTTCTAAATACGGCAGAAATTTCTTGCAAACATTAAGGTTAAACATTTTCTACATGTCAAATAAATCTGAAAAAATACTTACCCCATGGAATTCAATAGTTTTCCAATTAATGTCTGTTCATTTAATAGTGTGGATTGTCAGCAACAACTTAATTCCATGTATGTAAATATTTTTTTGAATATCCAGTCATCTTAACACTTTTGTTGCTTTAATCAGCTGTTTTAGTAATTCTGTTCCACAAAATAAGTTCCAACGTCTTTCCTTATTCGTACAAAACCACTGCAGTAACAGACTATTTGCCAAAACCACTTTTCAATATCATTGACTCCTTTAAGTATGTTTTTGGGACACTTCTACCAACAAAATTATACCAGTCCACATCCAGAAGCACTACTTCTATAACTGAAAAGATTTACTTTAACTCATCAACAAAACTTGCATTCTGAATTTTAAATTGAATGTTTGGTTTACTCCAACTACTAAATCATGTTAATATACATACCCAATACATATATACACAGATTTTTAGAGATATAACTTTTGGTGTAGTTTTAACAAAAAGCGTCTGCATTGTATGTAACACACAATATCTTATCCTATCATAGTCAAACATCATGGATAGGTCTTGGTTCACTCAGTCTGCAATGTCTGAGATAAGAGTGATGACCCTGGAGATGACTGAGATAATTTTCTTCTTGTTGGACTGAACATTGGTGCCTCTCAGGATTTATTGAAAAAGTCCTTAATGAAAACAAAAAAACAAAAGAATATAACAACCTGGTCATATTTCCGTTGTGTAATGTATATTGAAACAGAAGTAAATGACAGACATCTGAATGGTTCGATGAAGGTTGACGACCTTTTGGTTAACATGCTTAACATGAATGTCGAAGGAGCAGACAATGAGGACCATGAGGATAAACATAAATAATCTTTCATAACAGTGGTTTCAATGTTAACCATACAAGCACCACATACATTGTATTAACATCGTAAGATGAGAATCATCCTATTGGCTGAACGTCTATGGTAATATGTTGGTCAATATATCAATGTAAGAAGCGACATAGTATGAAACTAAATAAGCCAAGAATTTAGTTGTGGTAGTTGTAGAAGAAGAAAAAGAAGAAAAAGAAAAGTGAAACGGTTTTGTTCTGTTTGCTCTCCACAAACAATAATGCAGGATGTGGCGTGGCACATTCTCCACCTCAACCTCTGTCAATCCAGTTGGCACAAATGGTGTACAGCCTCTGGAAAGTGATGAGGTTGTGATGGATGACCATGGTGAGGCTGAATTGGAGGCTGGAGAAGAAGAGGAAAGGCCAACCACTGGAGAGGAACACATCAAGTTTGGTGTTGAAGTGCACGAGTATGCAAAAGTACAATGACTGAGATGTAAATGCGTCAAAACTTATCCAAAATGACTGACTCATCTTTTTCAGTAACAAACTGAAAGTCAGCCCACTACACTGCACATCAACAGGAATCCATGCTTCTTTTTTCTTTATTAAAGCGAAAATATTGATTTCTTTAACTTGTCTCAAGTTAGCTTTCCACTGTAAAGCTCAGAGGAAAACAGTAAGCCATCTTTTGCTTGCAAGTCTAAAAGTTGAGGAGCGCTGCTGTAGTCTAAAGCAAAACTTGTCCGAAGCGTTGCAGACCTCAGTGTATTTAGAGTTGAACACAAGATTGACACTGCGTTTTCAGGGCAAACTTTGGATATTTCAGGCACAAAGAGTCGCAGCATTTTCTCTTAAGACTGTTGGGTGTGTGTATGTGTTCACTTAGGGAGAAGGGATGCAGTTCAGCTGTTTGTCCTCACAAGTTTTTTGATTGACTCGTGAGGACACATATTGATAATGTTGGCCTCTACATGTTCCCTCGCTTTGAACTTGAGTATTCCTCGCTTCAGTTTTGTTTTATACGAAAGGATACTTGTGTGCTCATGTCCTAACCCTTAATCTAGCAAGTAAAACTTAGTGTGGAGTTTGAGTCCCAATTCAAAAGTTTATCATTGAAGGACGTCGCAAAAATAAGCAAAGGTTCAGCTCCTTAAACTTCTCTTGGACTTCCTGCAGGTAAGCATCCAGAGGAACAGGACAGTGTTTCTCGTTTGTGTGGAAAGTTACAAAAGTATGTTCATGACTGGCAAAATCGACTGAACATACCCCTTCCAAACATATGCCACCATTTTTGCTACAAGTCAGCAACAGCAGACATAATTGCCCTTAGACAATACTCTTTTCATTTTCATACAATAGATGGGAGCCCTGCGATGGACTGATAACCTGTCCAGGGTGAATCCCACCTCTCGCCTGTTGACTGCTGGAGACAGGCACCAGCCCCCCTCACAACCCTGAAAGGATAAACATGTTAGATAGTGGATAATAAATAGGACAGAAGTCTATGTTCAAAGCTTGCCATCTTGTTTTATAACCTAATCCATTCTATAACTTTTCTAAGCTTTATCCCTGACTTGTCCTGGTCTTCATGCTGATGTTTGTTCACGAAAGTTACATAGCAAACTTGTAATTGTGCTGAGATTTTATTATGCTTTTTATTTGCTGATTTCAGAAGGCATTTGTTTACACTGGATGCTATATTTGCAAAAAGAATCAGAGAATCTTGAATCATTTTCCTTTCACTTCCCAAAATGCACAATTTTGTCCTGGTGTATTTCATAAAGTCCCAATAAAATACAATAGAGGTTTGTGGGTGTGACATTAATGAATGTGAATACTTTTCCAAATCACTGTTAACATAACACTGCAGGTTTCAATGTGCCGATGCGGGTGTGGCGAAAAGCAGATAAGCTTTCAGTTTCTCCTAAGCTCACTGTTAAGTGAGTTCCTTAGGAACATAGATCGTCTGTAAGATAAAGCAGGAAAAACAAGAATTGTTTTTCTGCCACAGAGATAAGAAAGTGACAAACATTTGTCTGGGGCTGCCAACTACCTACTTGATTTCACTTTAAAGGTCTTAGAGCGTGACTTCAGCAGATCACGATTCACCTTTAAGGGAGCGATGATCCTCACATTTAGGGTTGTCAAAATAATTGATATTTCAATATCAGCAATATTAAGAAGCCAGAAAATTTCTGAAAAAATTTAAACAGGGCCTGCCAAAGTGTGCCCCTTGGTTGGCCCAGCGTTCTGATGCTAAAAATTAGCATCAGTGCTAAGGTAACCTACAATGTACTCAATAGCCTGTGGAGAGTCACAAACATGTTGAGTAACATGGACTGACTCCATTCAGTATGTTAAAATGAGTGTATGAGGTAAATTTTGCCAAAATGCTAATGTTAGCCTAACTGATGCCAGTGGCATGTGGGCTATAATTAGCATGTTGTCTTACCCTTGTGCGTGCAAGGACTGAGGCAAACGTAGAGGACTGTGGCAAATGATACAAATTTTACGTGTGTGGGGTCGGTTGGACCCCATATGTAGACAAAAGGGTTACGTTGACTTCCTCCATTCAGTGTGCTAAACACAGCTAATAAATTAACAAAATAGCGAAAAGCTTATTTTAGGGAAAAGGCTACTGCTAATGTGGGGCATAGCTACATTAGCTATGTTTGTGCTAATGTTAATGCACAAACATTAACATTAATGATAATCAGAATGCCTTCGGGTTTTTACTTTAGCAAAAGTAAAAAATCAGATTTTTACTTCGTGGCACTTAGTTACCAGAAAACTCGATCATCTCTTAGCAACAGATTAACAAATATTATTGTTGAAATGACACAATATTTCTTCTGTAATTTTGAAGTACTACTTAAGAATTGTGCAGTTGGTGAATTTTTCAGAAAAGTGAAAATGTTTTGTTTTTTTTGTCATTGGGAGTCTATATATTACAAAACAGACATTCAACACAAGAGTAAAAATCTTATATATACTTCGTGGCATTTCGTTAACAGAACAAAAAAAAAAACAATAATCTTTTAATACCAAATTAATTACTTTTTCATAAAGCATAAGGTCTTTTGAAATACTGCTAATAAAAACAAATAAAGATCTGTTATTGCTGTACCAACCGTCTAGACCCCTCAGATCTTCTGGTTCTGGTTCTGCTCTGCATCCAGAAC